TCCTTACTCGGTGTAAATTCAATCTGTTCTGTTTGTATGACATAAACAACAAGCAGTTTCACAGGAATGAGGCAAACCATATGTGAAGGTGTTTTAGAAAGCACAACAGGGAATACAGCAAGCAAAGAAGCATCTGCATTTATTTCAATGTCAAATCACATGTGTATTATAAAGGGAAAGTTTATTGTTTTTATTAAAAAACAACTTTACTGAACTGTGCTGTTTACAGTTAACTCTTCCTGCCCCTCAGTGTCCTCATGATTTGGCAAAAAAAAAAACAAAAACAGCAGGTAAAATCATAAAAGCTACAGGTGCAGAGGCAGGGTTGCAAAGGGGTCTTCAACCCTTTCCCCCTGCCCAGGCTGGTGTACGCTGCCAAGAGCCTGTATCTTCACCCTCCCCTTGCTACTCCTCTTGGACAGGGGCTGCATCTGCTCCTGACAGCTGCAAGTGAGGACCAAACCCTGGTCCACCCCCCCTGCATTTCAGAGGTGCAAGAATATAAATCTAGGTAGGATGTATTTGTTACTGATGCCTGCAGGCAGCGGGACACCGGCTCGTCTCCTGTCTCAAGATACTGTCTGATCCTGCACCGATGCTGCACAGACCAGCCTGCAGCCAAGCTACCATGGGCATCATGTGGCACTGCTGTACAGGGCGCTGGGTATTCCCCCACAAAAGGTAGTGCCCTACAATAAATTATTTTTACAGAAGCTGGCCAGAGTCAGCTTAACACGTTTGGAGTTCAGGAGAAAATATTTCAAAGCAGCATTTAGCCTGAGTATGAGCTACAGGCACATTGTTAAAAAGCTAATTGCATGGAGACAAAGGATGATCGTTACATTTATATTGGTGTATAATATTAACCCTTAAGAGCTGTGTTTGACGATAAGTTGTTGGTGATTGAAACTGCTAGTTCATTATTTATATTTAAACTCAAGCTTGAAGATTTCTAGAGTCACAGAAAGTGTTTATGTAATTTTTTTTTGGTATTAAGACAGATAAAAGTTTCTGAAATCTGGGATCTTTTTCCTATGTCCTCTAAAACTATGCATAAAAAACAGTGTTAAAGTGCTGAATTGCTGAAATTATTTCTCAGATCTGTATTTATTATGCACTTTCAGGCAATCTGGCTATATAGTGACAACTTGCCATGAAGTACATTTTTTTCCTCAAATTTGGCTTGTTTCAGGGAACAGAACAGGGCTAGAAAGCTTCTGACAGCAGGTTTGGGGCTGCAAGGGTCAAAATTCCTCCACGTGTTTTCTCTCTCAAGGTTATAGATTTCACCTGTCTTATTCAGACAATAGCCACTAAAAATATTCATGTTCTGCTGCAGGTTACACAGGCTTTTAGTTCCAGAAACACAAATTTCTGAGAGAAGGGAGGTTCAGAGGCGGGAGGGAGGAAATGGTCCTGGGGTCGGCTCTCCAGGAAGGTCTGCAAAGTGCTTGGTGGCTGTTTAGCAGCTACGGGGCTGTGACTGCAGCTGACCACATCAACGGCGTGCACCTCCCTGTAAGATGTGACCACGTTCGTCTGTTGTCTTAGCTTCTTCTCTCTCATCTTATGTTTTGGACTCATCCCACTCGCCACCAATTCACTGGACCTAAGCAAAAGCCTGCTGCTTTCGGCAAGTCTGTATGTGGGCACAGTGGAAAAGTCACTCGTGTAGGCTGCAAGATCGAAGCTGAAGGCTGCAGGCTTCTGCAGCCAGAATGATCTTTTTATTACATATGTGTATAATGCCCACTGTAAGGAGGTTTGACTATGGCCTACGGACGTGAGACACTACTGTCAAATTAGTATGAATGGAAAAGGACAGGCAAGCTATAGCAATGGAAACAAAAAAATATCATAATTATCAGAAAAATTTGTGATCACAAAAGAATATTTTGCTTGTACTCGCCAATCTCCCCGTTGGCAAGCCCTAGAAGAAAAGAGAAGATGAGAGAGAGGAAAGAGGAGAGAAAAAAATACAGGGAGAGTCGGGGAGAGAGAGAGGGAAAAAAGAGAGAGACTGAGACAGAGTGGATACTTTTAACTTGTCACAGTACAACACTAGCTTTTAATTAATACAGGGTATGTACAACTTTGAAGACTGTTGTTTGTGCAGTATTTTATGATAAATACATTTTATGGGATTTTGTTTTTAAAGAGGATTTTGTAAAATAACCTAGCCCAATAAATGATTTACCAGCTGCAATAAAAGATCAAGGAAATTGCTCAGATTGCATCTTGGAGCATCTAAAACTCTGAAGTTTACGGAGATCTAAGCTGCCCCCAGATCTACAGTCCTATTAAAAATTTTTGTAGTAGCTAATTATCTTGCATTGCATTTTTTAAAAGGTAGCAATCCTAGCAGAGAGGAAGGTCTGGAAACAGACAAAGAGCAATTGGTGCCCTTTGATGGAGAAAGTAGGAGAGAAGGAAAGGAGAAGAGACAGACAGAAGTGAGTAACAACAGAAACATCATGCTGGTATGGTAACAAATGGAACTAACAACTCATAAGGTATCAGATACTCCTTCAATCACACAGGGAAACTGAATTAACTCTAAGTTTAAAAAAATATATATTATTAAGGACACGTTCTTTACATGGCATGCTAAGTATAACATCTATATTACTTGACCAAGAGTGGAGTAATTTGTTTTCCTATTTTTTTCTTTCTGATAAAGATGATGTTTTACCACAAGCGAAGCAGAAAGCAAAGAAACATTCTCTAAATTCTGTTTTGTTCTAACCTCATGGGATTTTCATGCAATAAATAAGTAAATAAAGCAAGTGCTGGTTCTTATTTCAAACAGGATAACAGAGACAGTAAATAGAATGGCATATTGAAATAATAAAATACTAGCCTCAGTTGTCTTCACAGAAGGACAAGCAGCACAGTCACCATGAAGCATGCCTTGTAGCCTTTGTTTCGTACCAGGAATATATGGTTCATGCCCTGTGACTTACTGTGCTCAGACATACCCCTGCCCCCCCAGGGAACCCTAGCAAAGCCAGTGTCCCTGTAGGCATAGGGCTCCAAAGTCAACTGGGCTTCCTAAGAAAGGACGAAGAAAGGAAAAGTAAAAGCAAAAGGAAGAAAGAACCATCATTTTTTCTTGGTCCCCAAACCAGACAGCGAGGTGCATGCCAACTTAGACAAATGCCTGTTCCCTCAGCTCCTCTGGGTGCCTTGTGCAATTGCAGAGGCCATGGGCTTCAAAGCCTGGGGCCAGGTTGCTTCAGGGGCAGTGACCAGAAACCAGTATGTGCTCCACGAGTGCTTCAGTGCTAAGGAAGGATGGACTTGGGCCCCTTTCCCAACACTTTCAAGCTGAACAACTTTGAAAAGAGTAAAGGATCAATGCTGCTGACTTTAAATGTTAATTTTATCACTGCAACTCTGCAAGACACTGAAGAGGGACAGTGAAGTTCACCACCACAGAAAACAAGCACCTTGAGATAGAAAGAATTGAAGATAATTTGGTTAATTTAATCTGAAAATTGAGGTAGGTAAAATAAAACAGTGGGATCCGGCGAGGATATTTGGATGAGAACTGCTACTCTAAAATCTATTCTTAAATTATGGACAGGATGGGGGAGTCCTTAATTGCCCAAAATAACCATGATTAATTCAGTAGAATTATGGCAGTCTAACTATATGATTGTGTTTTATTTTTCCACTTGATTGCTGCCTCCTGCAATACTCAGGGCTGACCACCTCGAGGGTTGAGTTCAGATTTCTATAGTGAAAATGTACTTTGTGTCTGTAGGGTCTTCACCTAACTTTCTGCCAAACTTCAAGGGCGCCAAGTGAATGTGGCAAGTGAAAGCAGGGAATGACAGGACTAGTGATGCTGAAGGCTGCTTGGCTTGCCTGATTAGATAATCCTGCCTACAAATGTTTCGATAGGGAAGTCATTTAAAACTAAATTTTCACAGACATGCACCCTATTTTGATGCTCATTTTCTGGATGCTTTATTTGAAACTCCAGGGGCTGATTTGCAGAAGACCATAGGTGCCAGAGATGTACATTACAGGTGGGTTTTGAACACTCAAAACACAATACAGAGCTATGTGAAAGACTGTCAGATCATTTCATTTAGTGAAGGATTGGGTCTTCATTGTTTTCTACTAGTTACAAATAACTGTCCAACTTTTGCAATTACCTTGAAGATGAAATCCCAGGAAAAATAATTATAAGTAAATGAAAATATTTCATTTTGATGCAGTCTTTTTAATTTCACTTTAATCTATCTTTTCATTTTAAGTCATTTCCCATATGTGTATTTTATGAGAGAGAAAAGTAATAATATTTAAAGTAACATCCAACAAAGGTAGTGTATTGCTCTTAAAATGCTGAAAAGATTTTACTAGAAATCCTCTTTCATTTCTTCCCCTGACACAGTTTCTCAAAGCAACGCAGCAATGTCAAAATTGCATTCTGAGACAAAAAATGCTTCCAATTTTTTTCTAATCAACTTCAATCATAAATAACACTAAGGAGTCAAAGAAAATTCAAGTCTTTGGTTACTTATAAATGCTAGAAATATCCTACCTCATATCCCTATCTGTGAAGGTGAAATGACACCCCTTCCTTACTTCACAATGATTTTGTGGAAAAAGTAACTCTTATTTGTAAAATTCTATTGGGAAGGGAAGTATGAGGAAATTAGTAATTCTGAATTCCAGGCAGGGTCTGCATGTTGTAAATAAGACCAGGGGCCACAATGACCAAAAAGCAGAAAATAAAATACTTAATATTTACACAAATAAATAGTACATACAGAGAAAAATTAGCTCTGTGGAAAAATAGCATATGATGTCATAATCACAACTTGCATGCACAAAGGGGACAAACTGACATTGCTTAGGTAATTGTCAACCTATGTGTTGGATTTTGCAGCCTAATAACATTCATCTGAATGTAGATACCTCTGTAATACAAGAATAACAAGGCATACTTTTGGGTTGTGAAACTATTTGAAACTGAGATTATTTACCACACAGAAAAAGTATATTTCTCTAAGTCCTCCAAGTAAAAATTGCTCTCTTCAGATGCTTTTCCTTCTTCTGGTCTTGCATTGTTCCCAGGACCTGATTTTTCTTGATAACATTGGTCAGGTGGGTTATTCCAGTTGATCTTTAAATGAAAAGAAAAAACAAGTTGGAATAGTAAGGTAATTAGCTGGGCACAGCTAGCAAAGTAAGAGCTGCCAGTTTCACCCTGTTTTGAACTTCTAGCTCTGTTTTACTCCTCACTTGAACTTCTAGCTCTTTTTTATTCCTCACTCTAAAACACACCTGGAAAACAGCAGTGGCAAAGCTGGCTCAAAACACTTAAGAATAGAATAGACTATTTCAGTTGGAAGGGACCTATAATGATCATCTAGTCCAACTGCCTGACCAATTCAGGGCTGACCAAGTTAAAGCGTGTTATTAATGGCATTGTCCAAATGCCTCTTAAACACTGACAGGCTTGGGGCATCGACCACCTCTCTAGGAAGCCTGTTCCAGTGTTTGACCACCCTCTCAGTAAAGAAATGCTTCCTAATGTCCAGTCTAAACCTCCTCGGTGCAGCTTTGAACCATTCCCATGCATCATGTCACTGGATCCCAGGGAGAAGAGCTCAGCACCTCCCTCTCCACTTCCCCTCCTCAGGAAGCTGTAGGGAGCCACGAGGACGCCTCTTGGCCTTCTTTTCTCCAGACTAAACAAACCCGAAGTCCTCAGCTGCTCCTCATAGGACATTCCTTCCAGCCTTGTCACCAGCTTTGTTGCCCTCCTCTGCACGTATTCAAGGACCTTAATATCCTTCTTAAATTGTGCAGCCCAGAACTGCACACAGAGTATTGTTCAGTGAATTGATTTATGTTCCTATAAGGCTGTGGTTTGACAAGTCCTCTCAAGGAGGCATAAGCTCGTGCTGACACCAGAAGAAGTCATGCAGCCTTCCTCTACCTGCTCGCTTTTTCCTGTGTTGCACACCACACTCTGTCAGCACAAAAACTTGGACATCCACATAGTAAAACATACGGAGGGAACTGATCTGGGAAGGGAATTAATGCTGTTTGGCCTCTTTCTTTTCTTTTCCTTTTATTAACTGGGTTACCTCTCAGCTGGACCCATTCTGATCCAGGCCACCCTGCACTGGTGCCAGCAGAAGGGAGGAGAGGGACAGTACTGCATGTTTCAGTGCCGGTGCCAGTTTATGCTGATTTAAACTACTCCTTGAGCTACAAAGTACAGAATCCCAACCTGTGCTCCTACCTGGAATAACATATTTACGTGCATGGGGCCTAATTCGGTACTGGCATCGCCTCTCTCTGGAGTGACCAGCAGGTTCCTTGCATGTTTGGCGTTATCGCCCCTGGACAGAGCGCCAAACGTCACTTCCACCAAGAGACACAATGAGGTCATAACTTACCAAACAGACATCCGCAGGTGACTTCATGAAGCTATCTATTAATACCTTCCTAGGCACAAGACCAAACTCTGTAAAGGGTTTGTTAATATTTAGTGAACAAGCCCAGAGAGAACAAAGGGGTGGAAGTTAAAACCAGTTATGTTCGAACTAGAAACAGGACTCCCTTTTTGTTCTTTGTTTTAGACAGGGAGATGGAAAGTATACTGTTTAGAGGTAACCACAAAGGGAAATTTTGGTTCTCCATCCCTTGACGCCGATTTTATGGAGTAAGTGGTTGAAATTTTCTAGCCTATACTAGAAGCTAACATAAATGATTTAAGGTCCTTTTTGACTTTCGTATTTATGAAATCTGTTATGAACAAAACATCAAAGTTTACTCTCTAGGTCTCAAAAAATCTCAGAGTTTCCGGGGAACACAGTGTTGGCATTAGATGTAGTCACATCACTGTATACTTTGCTAATTATGAAAACTACAAAGATTTTTTTTTAAACTCGCTAAACCATTTTGTTCTAAAAGGCAAATTTGAATTCTGAAGCTTGGATTACATAGACCTCATCCACATTTTGAATTTTAATTTAAGGCTCATGGACATAACAGACAGAGGTTCATATCCATACCTACATAATGCTAAATATGGTTATCAGTAAACATGACACAATCATCATATTTTCAGCGGTCATTGGAAAAGCTGCCACAAGCAATGGAATATATTGTCAAAGAGTGATTCTATGTAAACATGAACAGTTAAGGCAGAGTAGAAGTGGGTAGCATGCTCAAAGCTGTTTTCATACACTAAGACCAGGCAGCTACAGACAGCATTGCGTTTCACCTAGTCACGACTGCCCAACTTAATTCCCTAGAAAAAGTCAAGGTTTCAGAGTAGGTAGTGTGTGCAAAGTACCTTGTTTGCACTAACATTGTGTCCATGAAACTACCCTTGTGCAAAGTAGATATAAAAGCATTATTTAAGACATAAATCCCAAAGGTGTTAAAGAGTATTATGAGTGAATTTCTCTGAGACTGTGTTTGATCTTATCTGAAGTACGAAAGCAGAAGCTCAGTCATCTGCATGAGGATGGGATTATGGCCACAGAATATATTTTACTTCTCTCAGAAGTCACTGACTAGGAGCATTGTGTCCTTCATAGCCACCACAGAATATCTTGAATATATGCAACGGTGTGCACACTCATTGCAACAAAAACTAAGTTGTCACTAATGCCCATCATTCAGAAGATACTCAGTGGGAGACTATTTGCAACTACTTAGCATAGATGAATTTGGGGGCGGGGAGGGACAAAGCAATAACACCTTTGGTTTTGCTGATATATCCTATATTCCCCAAAAAGGTGAGGTCAGACCCAAAGGTCTTTCTGTTTGCTTTTGTTACAAAAAAATAAATTAAAAAAGTCTATTTATGAAAAGAAAAGGGACAGCTGAGGAGAAAAAGCCACGACATGAACTTCTGTCTTCTGCCCCAAGTCTGTTCTTTACATTAGTTTGTAATTGTTCCCAATAGATGATTGTTGGGTAAAATGACCTTAGAAGATGGTTTCAGTTCCAGAGATACAAGTAGGCCCAAATGACATAATTCAGATCAAGTGTCTAAATCTCGAACATGCTAAAACAAGGATCTCTCTGAACATTAGGGTTCACTCATCCCATTAGAAAAGGGGGGCTCTTACAACCTTTGAAAGGAAATTTCACATGCTCACATTTCTTTTGTGCAGAAGTATTCTCATAAGAGGCTCAGTTCAGAAATTTATTTAAACATGTCAATAACTGTAAGCTTGTGAGTCATTTCACTGAGTCCAAAGGGACTAGACAGTGCTGAATTACCCATAGGCTTACGCACCTTACTGAAACCAGGTCACTTTAATGTGGTTTTGAGAGCCACCCACAACTGAGGTTCCTAAAAGAGCGCGGCATTTTGTTCAAAGGCAATGTGCTATTATGGGATTGTAGGAAATGGATTTCACTCTGCCACTCCCGTGGGTTGGGTTGCTTTGCCCATTACACCCACTCCATCAGTCCTTAAGTCCTACACACACACCCCCGCATGCACACATCAGTCTGCAGTTATGTTTATAGATAACTCTGGTTTCTCCAAGTTATCCTTACCTCCCTAAAGAAATAAATCACTTGAAAACTTAGTCATTTAAAATGGAGGGAATTTCCAGTTGGCCAGTATGGTTTTGCTCATAGATATTTTTATGTAGATCATCACACTACTAAAGTCAAAGTTGCGATAATAATACCCAGCTATTGAGTATTTGTGCCACAGTACATGTATAGGTATAAACACACAGTACACAAGTTTGTTAGTACTCTGAGTACTGTGATGACTTTTTTCCAAGGGCAATTAAAAGCGTTAAAAATGTTTCAGAGTACATCTAGAACAGGGTGAGACAAATTGCCAGAACAATTAATTTGAATATTCATGTTTGCAGTTATAGTTCACTGCAGCCATGCTGATCTAAGAAGGGAAGTGGAGCAACACTTATAGAGAAAAATTGCATCCTTCATTGGAAAATACCTTATTTAGAACAGATAATGCAGGTAGAAGCAATTCTCGGGAATACAGAGTCTTCTTTGTGTCTTGGTTCTCAGGATTCACATTAAATTGGAAAGTTCCAGTAGTATCTCACCCAGAAAGTGTTGTCATGATGCAGATGTGATTTCATGGTAACTTGTACTGATGACACAGTATTTGTTCACAAATTAATTATGTCCATGACCAAGATACTACAAATAAGGATACTAAAATTATCCGATGGTAGGGATCTTCTGCACAAGGACATGAGAGCTTGAAGGTTATAGATGCATAGGAAACCTATCTTCTGTTTAAACATTACTGAAATAATATCATCCTGCAGCGCAGCCTTGATCAAGCTGCTGTGTCTGATCACTGGATGGTCTTTCCTACTACTCCTTTGAAATTCCTTTGCTGAAGAGATTAGCTCCCTATAGATCTATGCAGGAGACAGCAATACTCCTGGCCCTGTGAAGCCTTATGGTAGCTATAACAAAATTCACAGTGAAAGATTAAAGAAACACAACAACAACAAGCCAGCCCACAAATCATTCCTAAATGGCACAGGTAGAAGCTCCAACGGCTTCACCATGCACTTTAAGGGAGATGTTGACGTTCAGACCAAGGCCAGTACCTTGTGATGTCCTCCTTGGTCTTCCTTCGGCTGAAATGAGCTGCAGCGCTCATCTGCACTGCCACAGCTATCTTGGTAAAAATCATCCTCTGTAAGGGGGAGGGGAAAAAAAAAAAAAGGCATTTTTATATCAGTGCATAAGACAAAGCTCTGGAAAGGAAGGAGCTGGGTTTTGTTCCCTCTTCCACCAAGATCCTGTGTAACTCCAGGCAGGTCATTTTTTCCCCTCCATCCTAGTTATAAATAGGTGGTTAGTTCTCTCCTACCTTCCAGAAGTGTTAGGATGATAAATGCAGAGAATACTTCAGATAACATGGTGCTGGAAATAACAATTGTCTAGGCATGAAGCAGGGGAAAAAAGTAGAAATAAAGAAATAACAGACACAAGAAGAATGACAATGAAGGGTATTTTAAACACCCCAGAATGTGTTCTTCGGAAAAGAGAAGGAAGTTCATTTTCTTGTATGGGCATGGTTGTGGATCGAGAATGAGGCACGGGGAACCAAAGTACTCATGTTTTCTAAGCAATGTTTACTCAGGTAATGTGTCCCTCAAACTCCTAAAAAGCAGTGACCTGTGGAGTGAAGAAAAATGTACTCCCACATCATAGGAAGCAGTGGTGCGATGGAAATAAAGGTATGTATTACACTTCTCAATGTACAGCACATGGAGGACAAGTCAAAAATATACTTAACAATTATTTCACTTTTTCTTTTTATTTACTTCCACTTCTCCTCAGTAAAAGACAGTCAAGTGTACTTAAAATCACAGCACAGGCAGCATCTGCTCTTAGGTGTTATAGTTGTAGATATATAATATACAAATATATAATGTCACAGCTTTGAGCCTGTGTGTGTGTATATACCTATGGATATCTTTCTATTTCTTACTTTCTATATATATATACACACATGTATAGGTGTATATGTGCTGAGCATTCATAGTGGGTGAGGTATTTACAGGTATTTACGTCCTCTGGGGTGAAAGAAGAGGTCTACTGAAATCAGTGAAATTGCATAAAATACAGCTGCTGGGTATGTCACGTGTGTGCACACATGCAGTATAAACAGTTCGAGTTGTCTTCACATATTCCATATGTGATACATGTATGTACCCATAAACACGTATTAAAATAGAAACATACCTTTGTAAAGATGGTTACTGTGGTTTTCTTTGTTGTTCAATTTTTTTTTTTTAATTTTGGCTCACTGAAATGGGTTTCCAAATAGCTTTGCTGAAATAATGAAGGCTTTGACAATGTTTTTGGAGACAAATGAATAAAGCAGTAATTACCTTGGCCAAAAAACCAGCACAATAAAAAGAATAAAGAAAACAATAATAGTCTACATTTAAGAAATGGGAGGGAGAAGGAACTCAAGTTTGTTATTTAATCATGACATGCTCTTTTTATATTTTATTTGTAAGGCTCTGAATGCTCTTTTCTTTCTATACCAGTGAGCTCATTACTTTAATTCCTCATAGATTTCTCTGAACAATTTTTGCTAAGTAAAAACACAATGTAATTCTTCAATGGCTGTAACAGTAAGAAGCTGCTCAAATTAAAGATCAATAAAAAGTACAGAAAAAATCTGTATGAAAATAAATAAATAAAGGAGAAGATGGCAAATGCTTGCAATTAGACAGGATGAAAAATCTAAAAAGAAATTAAATTTAGTTGTAATACATTTCCCATTCTTTTCTTCACGAAAATTACTACTGAAGTGGTTTTTTTTCTGTAATTTAAATGTTAAGCTGCCAGATGTGTGTCTCATGCTTGAAGAGTTGAAGCTTTGCATTATTTAGCATATTAAGATTCACAGAATTTAAAAAAGGGCTCCTTTATTGCCTGGAGGTTCTAATTAAGTAAACCTTAGCCTGGTACATTTAAAACTTGCAATACAAGAGATTTTGCTTCCTTTTTTTTTCTCTGCAGCCAAGTCTCATCAATATAATAAATATGGAAAATACTTAAGATGATATAATTTTTCTTTGGCTTGAGGAATTAAACCTATCTATTATTTTAAGAAGTTTTTAATAGAGGCCAGCAATCAGAAAGACATTTAAAGACTCCAGTCTACTTTTTAATCATAGGATTTGCTCTTAGTTAGTGGGGGAAAACGTGTCTTATAAAACTGAGCTATGTAGAAATTGTTTCTTCCACATGCACAAAACAAAGCAGTTCTGAGAAAGAAACAAGAATCACACAGTTCTTTATTATTAAATTGCATTTTACTTTTTTATAACTTGTTATAATTGACCACAGAAAACTAATAAAGTATTAATTAGCTGTGCTATCAGCAATTTGTTCATTGAAGGAGTTCGGATGGCTGCATCAAAAACTGTAGTAACATAGAAATTCCTTTGACATACACTACCTATAAATCATACCTTAAATACAGTTATTTCTACCATTTTAGAAAATGTCAAAGATGTCAACTTTGTCCAGATATCGCACTTAGCAGTGACTATTTTAGTAAATTGACTCAAAATACATTTTGTTCCCTGGCAGGGGAACATAATACCATTCATGATAAAAATGAGCTATTTGAGGAGGAGAAAATAGCACCAAGTAAGAATGATCAAAGACAGGTATCATAGCGATGATAAAGGTACAATGGCAAGTGTAAACTCTCTGTTAATAGGTTTATTTGGAAGTCAACAAACATATACATAAGAGCAGGAAAATGTGATTACACCAGGGCCTGGAAAAGACAATAAAATTCTTAATCCAATGTTATAAATCTGTGATCAGGTATAAGAAGTCCAGCAGAGTAGTTTTAATGCTGTACATATGTATAAGACAAATAGGAAAAAGTGCTGAGACCAGTCTTACTTCTTGGTGATATTAAGGCCCAACAAAACAGTTTAGATGCTACACAGCTCACACCTGATATGGGATACAAAGAAAGTGTCACCTGTACCAAGTCCCTAAGTTCAGCTGGGACCTACATTCTTAAAACAGGATGGAAAGAGGTTGGAAACTAAAATGTTAGTGCTACTCCGTTACCTTTCTTAGCGTGAGCCTTCTTGGGGCAATAGCTGAGAGTAGTAGCATGACCTTTAATAATGGAGGGTGTCTTACTGCTTCTTAACCCTTGTAGAGTATAATGTAACCTTTTTTTATCCTCTACATTCAGTCTGGAAGTTATCCTCTTTGGTTATGTTTTCTGTAACAAGTGCTGTGGTGCAGCAGGAGTGGATCTGTAGAATGAAACCAGAGATTCGGAGGACACCACTGAACACTGGGGACCCCACTGTGTGTTAAAGAGTTTATGTCAGACTAGCTCTATTCTGGTCCTGGGAATTGATGGCCTATTAATACCTGATACACACCCCTAAAGCGCATCCTGTTGCTTAGCTTCACCCTAAAGGAGTCCAGAGCTTGTCCTCTGAGATCACTCTGCAATGCAAACCAGAGAGCAGCAACTGGGGCAGGGCATTCCCTTCAAAAGTGCCCTAAAAACCTAAACGTTAAAGTAGACGCACCCTTTGTGAACTGGGATTAGAGAAGGGTGGGAAACAGATTCTCTGTGATGTGAAACTTTCAGAAGCTGCATATAGAGCTGATACTGTGAAATTTTGATATATTTGGGGGCGGGGGGAGAGACATTTCTAAAGTTTTTTTTAAGTTATGGATAAAAAGAAACAGCACAGCTAGGAAATTACATTGGTTTGGTGGGAAATACTTCTGACTCTTATGGAGGCAATGTAGAGAAGGATGAAGTGCACTCCCTTCTGATGGCTGCAACCTCTCTTTCAGTCAGGAGGAAAGAATTTTAGAGTGGTGCCATCCAGAAGTGGGGCAGCAGGCAACAAAGAAATCACCAGCTTGGTTAGATTACAGCAGGGAAACAGAAAATAATATGAAAATCCTATCTGGACTCCCTCCCTAGTAATACCCCAGCCTGTGGGAAATCAAACAGCGTGGTAAGAGTTGGAAAAGAGAAGAGTTTGGATTACGTGGATTGCACAACTCTAAGCGGGAGCTGAATTTGATCCTATTGGCAAGAATCAACCCAATCCTTTATACAGTCCTGCTCAGAGGAGGAAAAGGCCAGCAGAGAAAGAGAAAGTTCAGCTGTCTGAGGCTCTGCCTCTGAGGCTCTACCTGTAGAAAAAATGAAGAGCAAGCAATCTTAATTTTAAAACATCACTTTGTTCCCTTTAAAGTGGCACCCGTGAGGAACTACCAATGAGAAAATGTTTGAGTTTTTTCATTTAGCTAATTATTTTTGCACCTGCATACGACTGTTATGCAGAAGCAAACCGCATGTCAGAAGGAGAAGAACGTCATTGCATTATAATGAGCTATACTGCAAGGAAGGCTCACTGGTTTTCATGAAATTGTTTCAGAAGTGGCTGTGAGCATAAATGTAATCCTCTCAACAAAACCATTTCTCACCTACACAAGCATATTTCAATAAATTAAAAACTTTCTCTCCAAAGGTAATGATAAAATTAGAATGAAATTGTCTCTGTGTTTGGTATTTTGATATGCAGGGGACATTTTAATATGTTCTGAATACATTTCTGAGTGTTATCTGCTAATGTACTAACTTCTCAGTTAGCCTGATGCCATCTTTGCTTAGGTGATACTCTGAAGCTTTGTTCAGACAGAAATGTTTTTTGATGTCACAAAAGGACACAATTCACTTCCCAACACTTTTCCACAGAATTGGAGAGAGTTCTGAATTGAAGATCTTAATGATCAATATTTAATATTCAATTTTCAATATTCAGTATATTTTAAAAGACAGACATTGAGTGAAAGAATCCTTCTGAGCTGGTAGATTTGAAAATCAGGGGCTAAAAATTTGTCCTCGGTGTGCCATAGAAATGTAATAGAGCAGACGATTGAAGGAACAACAGAAGTGGTGTCAAACCCCAAAAATAGGCAGAATGCAAGCTGCTTGTAACAGTCTGACTAACAATATTTATGAGAAATATTTTACATATTTCCAGGGGTTTTACTGTGCTACGTGAATAACTGGGGGCTTTGAAAAGAGACATCAGGCTTCATATGAGAGGAAGGCTGGGGAGCAGCTGCCTGCTGGGATGAGCATTGGTGGGGAGGAAAATGCAGGCACTG